GTGGTTTGCATGAACAGTTTTACAATCAAACTTATTTCCTTATGTTTCCATAAATGATTACAATAATTACCAATTTGTTCCTTTACCTCATTTATCTTCCTTTCTCCAACTTTCCCACTAGTAGCCATTACCTGCTTGACTCATAACTCTAATATTAGAAGCATAATCCATGCTGTGAGCGGCCAAGGAAGTTTTCTGACTGGACACACCTACAGGTAGGACAGTGTGCCCAGTTAGCAGCATTGCGGTGACAGCGTCGTGCAAAGTCAAAGAGAGTTTTGCCTCTAGGTTAATGTTTACTTCTGGTAAAATCTAAGTTCTCACAATCAACTCACCAGCCACGGCTGAATCAATCCATTCTTCATTCTATACTACTCTATCTCCCATGGGGGATATGCTAGGTTTTTTTTCCTATCATCCTGTAAGCAACATAACTTAAAAACTTACTCTCAATAGTTGACACTGTTTATCCCTTTTTCTCATGTTCCCTTCCTTTCAATTTCCTAGAGTCTTTGCACAGCTGTTAGAAATGAGGGCATTGTGGGTTTCTATGATTCTGCTTCGTTCCCTGTTCCAAGACTGTTCCTGCTAACTCCTGATATCACCTATTTATTAACTTTTCTCCTAGACTCTTGTGGTTAAAATCATTTTCTCCAGAACGGTTATGCAAATTTGAAATGTCATGGCCTACTGCAACTCTTTCAGCCTAGTCACAGGGTGCATTGGAAAGGTAACACCCTGTCCTTGAGAAGCCTGAATTCATGGTCACACCTGAAACACCAAAGGCTTTAGAGGTTGGAATAGATCCAGTGTATATTTTTAACAACATCCCTTCTGGCTCACCCAGAGAGTCAACAGTTTTCCTTTTGTGATAACTATTTTATCTATAGCTCTGAAAAAGTGAAACTCAAGGCAACCAGCAATATGGTTTGTATTAAAAAAAAAAAAAAAGGCAAGGAGGGCAGGTAGCACATAGCTCCTGGGGTCATGCCCAGAATTATGCAGCGAACTAGCCATCGGCCTTTCCAAAATGAGTCAAATTCTCTAGGGCCTTGGCACAATTTGTTCATGACACTCTCAGGCCTTGTCCCCCAAAGAAGTCACATGGCTCCTGGCACCCCACAGTGACACACTTCCTCCAACAAAACCATACCTATTGCAAGAAAGCCACACCTCCTAATAGTGCCACTCCTTATGAGTCTATGGGTATCAATCACACTCAAACCACCACACCAAGTCACCTTGACATCCTGAAAGGCGCTCCAGGGACACAGCTCTCATGAGTCATCACCCGTGCTGGGATGGATTTTTCAGTGATACAGCTGCCTTTGAGTCATGCATGCTCTTGTAAGTAACTCACCCATACTCCCGTAAGAAACCCAGTAAACCCATGGCTGCACAAAGTTGAGCTTTAGTAGGATCATGCCTTTGGTCCATAGCTGGTGCCCTGTCTGGAATGAATAGGCTTTTGATCACATCTACACAAGAAGAGTCACACAACATCAGGCTTACCCTTTCTATAACAACCTATCCTCACAAGAATCCGTTCATGCTGCAATATTAATCAGCAAACAAATGTTTCCTGTCCTGCCCATACCCAAATAACCACTCAGAGGCTTAATTACTTATAAAAGTTTGGCCGATAGCTCAGGAGTATTACTAACTAGTTCTTATATTTAAAATAACCCATTTCTATTCATCTAGATTCTGCCACAAGGCTCGTAGCTTGTTACCTTATTTTCTGTACATCCTGCTTGCTTGGCGACTGGCTGGCATCTCTCCTGATTCCCCTGACTCTGACCTTCTCTCACTGCACCAGGTTGTCTCACCCAATCTCTTCTTGCCCTGCTATTGGCCAACCAGTTTTTTTTTTATTAACAATGACATAATCCACAGCATTAATCCCTTGCTGATGTGTGTTCCTCAAGTTTTCTACACTGTGGCAAAGTGCCTAGAAAAGTAATTTAAGCCAAAATAACAATGGTGATGGTAATAAATAATGTTTCTTTCAACTCATGGTCTCACTGGTTTCAGTCCATGGGCAGATGGTTCCATCGTTTTGAGCTTGAGACAAGAAAGAATTATCATTGAGGCAGAAGTGTGTGGTAGAGGAGACTATTCCCCTAAGGCAGCTAGGAAGCAGAGGAGAAGTCACATCATCATGTCTGTAGTCCTAGCACTGGAGGAGTGTGCACAAGCAGCTCTCAGAACTCACTGGCTAGCTAGTCTAGATCATCAATGAGAACCGGGTTCAGTGAAAGATCGTGTCTTAAAAGATAAGGTGGCAAGATGGGCATTAGTAGCTCAAGCCTTTAATCCCAGCACTGGGGAGGCAAGGCAGGCAGGCAGATCTCTGAGTTCAAGGCCAACCAGCTCTACAGAGCAAATTCTAGGACAACCAGAGTTACACAGAGAAACCCTGTTTGAAAAAAAAAAAGTAAGACACCCACTGTTGACCTTTGGGCTCCACATACAGACATGACACACATCCACACATACGTCCACTCTGTATAAACTGATGACATGACTTCTCCATGATACAGTTAAGGGGAAGATTTGTATTGTAGATATGGGAGAGAGAACAGCCAGAGACATCTGGAAGAATCCAGGGCAGAGAAAAAGAGTAGCCTGAACATGGCCAGCAGACTAGACATGGCCAAGAGAGAAGCAGAAGCATTGGGGAGACAGTTAGAGAGAGGGGGAAGGAGAGAAACTGAGAGAGGAAGACAAAGGCAGCGTAGCTGAAATAGCAGGGTTGTAAGGAGAAAGAGTAGCTTGGGGGAGGAAGCCCGTGAGCTGGACAAGTTTAGGGTAGGAGGCTAGAAGAAGAGCTGAGAAGAGCCAGTACTTGTGATGCTGAGGCAGCTGGGGGCCAGCATGTGCTTAGGTATGCTAATAGGCACCACAGACAGCCATTAGTCCCTTCTGCCTTTGGACCTTCACACACACGCCACACAGCACACACGTACAGAAGGTGCCCTCACACCCGTGCGCACTCTCACAACACTTGTGTTGATACGTGTTTCTCTGAGTTAGCCACAATGACACTACGCTATAGATGTCCTAACATCTAAGAGAGCTGGCATTCGTCTGGGGGGAACTGGTGCTGAGGCAGAATACAGATTAGTGCAGAAGACTCCAGAGATTAACACAGGAGAAGCAGCAAAGGCAGAAAGACCGACAACCCTTATTCTAGCTGAGCGTTATTCTGCCATGGGGGAAAGTGAGAAGCCCACAGTACAGGAACTTGGGAGACGTTGGTACCAGTTCATGTCCCTTGAGCCTGAGGACCTCACTCCACTCTTTGTCCCTTCTTGCTTCTTTGGGCCAGGCCGCTATGAGATCAGGCACACCTCTACAATCCTGTGACTCTCTCTCAATAAACTATTTTCTTCTTGTAACTATCCATATGTCTTTATATAACCCATTTGAAAAGAGGCACAAGAATCTAGAAATTTTCATGTCAGCCTCTAGACTCAGTTCTATGCCTGTAACAGTGGCAACAATGGTCATTTCTGATACTGATCCGTTTTGATTAGTCAGCACCCAGGCCATGTCAGTTATTCATGATCACACTGCCACCTTGGGTTATAAATTGTCTCGAATCTGTTTAGGAGGTAGGCAAAGTATACATCATAAATATCAGTCTGTCTGAACATGCATGATCTTAATAAAGTGATATATTACCTCATTGGATACGAATGCTAACTCTGGAGTTATATGTGTGCGGCACAGTGTGGTGATCTTTTATGTTCTAACAAATAAAGCTTGCATGAAGATCAGAGTGCAGAGCTAGCCACACTAGTTAGCCATAGAAGCCAAGCAGTGGTGGCACACACCTTTGATCCCAGCACTCGGGAGACAGAGGCGGACAGATCTCTGGTAGTTCAAGGCCACCCTGGGCTACATGAAATTGATCCAGTCTAAAAGAGAAACAGAGCTCACACAGAGGTGAACCCAGCACTAGGGAGGTGGAGAGACAGGAAGAGACACGGCTGGGCAGAGAGAGGAATATAAGGCAGGAGAAGACAGGAGTTCGGGGCAGTCAGTCTGGGCAGCAGTGTGTGCAGTCAGTCTGAGGAGGCGGTCTGAGGACAGCATCGCCCCTTTGGTCTGAGCACTGGTAGAGGTAAGAACTCTCGTGGCTGCTGCTCTGCTTCTCTGATCCTTCAGCTTTCATCCCCGATAGCTGATTCCAAGTTTTTATTATTAAGACCAATTAGAATTTATGCTACAGCGCTGTTAATAATTAGGGACTTGAGAATTGTCCTCTGCAGGGTGTGGTGTCACATGCCTTTAATCCCAGCACTCAGGAGGTAAAGGGTATTTAAGGCCAGCCTGGTCTACAAAGTGAGTTTCAGGCCAGCCAAGGCTACCAGTGAGACTCTTGTCTCTCCAAAAAGAAAAAAAAAATGTACATCCTTCAAAAATTTAAAATAAAGCTGCTTTCTGAGAAAGATAAACGTAAATCAGTGAAAGGGTCAGAATGATCCAGGCTTTAAAACAAGGCTACGTTGCCGGCAGTGGTGGTGCACGCCTTTAATCCCAGCATTTGGGAGGCAGAGGCCAGCTTCGTCTACAGAGTGCGTTCCAGGACAGCCAGAACTATTATGTTACACAGTTACACTATTATGAAACCCTGTCTCGAAAATCCAAACAAACAAAACAAAACAAAAATTTAAAAAAACAAGGCTATGTGTCCAGTTAAATACATTCGTTTACATGCAAAGGAACAGAAATAAAATCAGAGTAAAAGTTAGCTGTAGTAACTCAAGGCAGGCCTAGGGGAAAGAACCAAGTCTCAGGGGCCAGAGCAGCCTGGGAGAGTGGTAATGTCGTCATTCGCTGGAGATTCTTATCTGACTGCAGACTGAACTCACCTAACTTGTTCTCTCTCCGTGCTTACCAAGCCTCTCCTAATTAAAATTTACCTTTTAATGTGGCATGCCCAGGGAGACAGGAGTGGGTCCACGCAGGGTCTAAGCATCAGGTCCCTTTGGCATATATATCTTTCCTTCTCGCTTCGTACATCCCTGCCCCCCCCTACACACACACACACACACACACACACACACACACACACACACGCACAGCTAATACCCACTGCCCACAACCACCACCCGCTGTGAGAGCCAGAGCTGAGCAGAGGCGGGAGGCGACAGAAAAATCACTCTCCGTGTCCCTGAGGCAGTTGTTTTGAGTACTTGCCGCTGTCCACAGAAGGAGCAAGGATGAGGGGGCTGACTACCTAGCGTTTGGTCTATGCATCACCGGATGAATAAGGCTGCGTCAGTGGTGACTTGCTTTCGTGAGGCGGTAAATCCCTGTCGACGCCTTTCCCCACCGTTCCCTTTCCTCTCTTCCTGGTTCCTTCTTTGCTCTCTAGTCTCTGCTCTCCGTTCCGCCAGACACAGCATTTCCACCACAGTAAGAGCCGTTTTGCCATGTTCTTAGGATACTTGCCTGCCCTACATGGTTCCTGTCTTCTAAGTCTTAGAATAAATCGCGAGCATATCTGTCCTGGCGAACCTGAGCCTCCACCAAATTCCCTTGCCATTCATTACTTCACTCGCTTCCTTATTTCCCAACCTTATCTGACTTAGCAAGAATTATCACATTGTTTTTTTTTAATATATATATATATATATGACTAGGACCTCATGACGTGAACCTCACTGTCTTATTAATTCTGCAAGGGGAGAATTACACATGTGATTACAACATGCCTATGTCGCTGAGACAAGCTCTGGACTGGAACAGTACACACCTACACTGAGCTGGTAATGATGGAATTATGAATGAGCGTCCTACAATCACC